CCCTCCCTGGCGGCAGCGGCATCGCGGAAGGATGCTCAGGAGCCAGCTGGGAGTGAAGGGGCTGTCTGGGACCCTATGCTAAGCCTGAGCCTCTCCCAGCGCTGACGCCCATCTCACCCGCGTGTGCACCAACATGTGCACCCACCTCCCCGCAGAGCAGCGCAGGCACGGGAAGCTGTTTCCCGAGGCATGGGAAGGCCCGTGACCACGGGCACCATGTCTCCTCTGCGGGGATGGCTTCTGCCAGGAACCCCGGGGCTGGAGGGGAGCCGGCGCGGGCACGGGATGAGTCAGGCTCCCTCACCAGCCCCCGGCAGCCCTTGGCACAGCTCATCTCGGCCCTTCCCACCTGGTTCCCATTCGACTCAGCACCCAGAGCGCCGCGAGGCAGATGCGAGTGTTAGAGCGGAGGAGAGATTCGAGAGATGGGGTAACGTCACTGCTCACACCAGCCTGGAAACCCCGTGCCTGTTCCTGCAGGTCCCCACCCCCGCGGGCTGAGATGCTGGTCCCACGAGAGGACACGGCCCCCGGGACAGGGAGGTGTCCTGGTCCCTGAAGCAGGAGGACGGGGGAGCAGAGTCCTTCCTCCCCTGCGGGAAGTGTGCGGGAGTCCAGAAAGTCTGAACGGAGGCACTTGGGGTGTGCAGGGGAGTCCCCGGTGCTTTCTGGTGCTCTGTCCCCTCTCCCGCGGGTGGCCCTGTCCCCTCTCCCGTGGGTGCGAGGTGCCCGTCCCCTCTCCCATAGGCTGCCCTTTCCCCTCTCCTGTCGGCTGCACTGTCCCCTCTCCCATGGGAGCAAGGTGGGTGTCCCCTCTCTCGTGAGTGGCCCTGTCCCCTCTCCCACGGGCGTGAGGTGCCTGTCCCTTCTCCCGTGGGTGGCCCTGTCCCCACTGCCATAGGTTGCCCCGTCCTCTCTCCCATGGGTGCGAGGTGCCTGTCCCCTCTCCCGCGGGTGGCCCTGTCCCCTCTCCCGTGGGTGCGAGGTGCCCGTCCCCTCTCCTGTCGGCTGCCCTGGCCCCTCTCCCCTGGGGGCGAGG